ATGAATTATTCATCTGAAAGGGAACTTCCCACAAATGCATTAGGTCAGTAACAAAGTAAACAATGTACTTTTTGCCATCATTTTGTAAATACTAAAGCTGTAGTTTACAACACAAACAGTAAATCTGATGTTTAGAATTAATGAATGTGAATAATAGCTTAGATGATAGAGGAGGAAGGTGTGGTATTATTTTAAACACTCGCTCTTTCAACTTTTACCTGCTAAATGCTAAAATGATTATTGTGCAATACAATTACACAGAATTAGATTCAATTTAATCAGCTGGCCCTCAGAACAATGCCTTCACACACATTACACTTGTGAATCACACTTTATAAGATTTTAAAATTGAGAAATACCAGCTGTGTGAGGATTACGCTTTTCAGCTGATTGTTTCAACACATCAGTGATGAAATAAAATGCAGAAATGATTATGGTCTTTTCTATTTCTGTTCCCCTTTTCCCTACCTTTTGGCATCATGATGTGTGTTCCAATACAGTTTTTTTTTCCAATTCAATTCAATTCAGCTTTATTTGTATAGTGCTTTTATAATGTTGATTGTGTCAAAGCAGCTTCACATAAATGGTCATAGTAACTGGATCAGGGTAGTTAAATTTTTTGTGTTTAAGTTCAGATCAGTTTAGCTCAGTTCAGTGTGGTTTAAAATCATTACTGAGAGTACAAACACTGAAGAGCAAATTTATCGATGCGTAGCTCTACCGATCCTGAACCATGCAAGCCAGTGGCGAAAGTGGAGAGGGAAAAAAAAAGTTCACCGATATAAGAAACAAGTAAATCAATAAATACATAGTTGCTGATCATAGTGCATATAAACAAGATGCAGAAACTTGTGTGGAAACCCGCTAAGTGTATGCTTTACTAAACAGATAGGTCTTTAATCTAGTTTTGAACTAAGAGAGTGTGTCTGAGCCTCGGATGTTATCAGGAAGGCTATTCTAAAGTGTAGGAGCCATAAAGGAGAAGGCTCGACCTCCTTTACTCGACTTTGCTATTCTAGGTACTACCAGAAGCCCTGAGTTTTGAGATCTTAAAGAGCGAGTTGGATTGTAGCGAGGCAGAAGGTTGGTTAGATAAACAGGAGCTAGATTGATTAGAGCTTTATAGGTGAGGAGTAATATTTTAAATTCAATAAGAAACTTAACAGGCAGCCAGTGTAAGGAGGATAAAATTGGGGTGATATGATCATATTTTCTAGACCTGGTAAGAACTACTAATTAAAGTTTGTTAATAGAGAAAGCTGGGCAGCCAGCAAATAGAGCATTACAGTAATCCAGTCTAGAAGTCATAAAAGCATGGACTAGCTTTTCTGCATCAGAGATTGATAGCATACTTTGTAATTTAGCAATATTTCTTACATGAAAGTAGGCGGTTTTTGTGACATGGGATATATGATTTTCAAAAGTTAAATTGCTGTCTAATATGACACCCAGATCTTTTATAGTAGAGCTAACGCTAACTTTGTATCCCCCTAATTGTAGATTGCGTTGTGAGATCTGCTGTGCATAATAAGTAATAATTCTGTTTTGTCTGAGTTTAAGAGAAGAAAATTGTTAGTCATCCAGTCTCTAACATCTCTAATACACTCAGTTAGCTTACACAGTTCATACATCTCATCAGGTTTAGTTTAAACATATAATTGAGTATCAGCTGCATAGTAGTAAAAGCTGATCCCATGTCTTCTAATAATGTCTCCCAGTGGTAGCATGTAAATTGTAAACAGCAAAGGGCCTAAAACTGATCCTTGAGGCACCCCATACTTTACTGGGCTGACTTGTGATGGCTGTCCATTAATATTAACAAACTGGTAATGGTCAGTTAAGTATGACTTAAACCATTGTAGAGCCTGTCCCTGGAACCATGTAGACTTTAAGTGATTTATGAGGATATTGTGGTCAATGGTGTCAAATGCCGCACTAAGATCGAGTAGAATTAATAGCGAGATGCACCCTTGGTCAGCAGCTAAGAGTAAATCATTGGTTATTTTCACTAATGCGGTTTCTGTTCTGTGATGAGCCCTAAAACCTGACTGAAACACTTCAAAAATATTGTTGGTCTGCAGAAAAGAGCGTAATTGGGTAGAAACAACTTTTTCTAGTATTTTAGACATAAAAGTTTTGAGTGGCAAAAACTCAAACATCCATTAGATGTTTACAAGCTTTATTATTTTGATGTTCATTTTGAGTATAATAATTTTCTTTTGCATCATAATAAGGAGCACACAAGAAGCACTTTTACTTGTGTACTTAGTAATCCAGTATTTGGTCACCTGTTGACATTCAGGCCAGCATAACAGATGCAAGTGTGAAACTGCTTTTGCATTAAAACAAGAAGTTAATACTAGGTCACATTTCATATGATCTTTCTTGGTTGCTTACTTTCAGTAACATAATCTCTTAGCATGACTTCATAGTAGAAACTTCCCACTAGTTCTTAAAATCAGTGTTTCTCAACCAAGCTCCCGGTGTACCACAGCTCTGCACATTTTATATCTCTCCTTAACTAAACACAACTGATTCAGATTATTTTCTCAGTAGCCGAGACTGAAAAACATGTAATGGGTGTGACAGACAAAGGAGTCCAAAACATGCAGTGATGGTTGTCCTCCAGGTCAGTGGTTGAAAAGCACTGCTTTAAACGACTGGCTAAGAATAAGCTACATGTCAGCTAACTTTCTGATTTATAGGATTAGTTTAGGCTGTATAAATTAGTCTAAACCCATGTTGTTTTTTCCTCAACAAAAAATGTTTTCCCTGCAGTCCAAAGACATGCGGTATAGGGGAATTGGGTGTGCTAAATTGTCCATTGTGTGTGTAAATAAGTGAGTTTGTATGGGTGTTTCCCAGTGATCGATTGCAGCTGGAAGGGCATCTGCAGCGTAAAACATAGGCTGGATAAGTTGGCGGATCATTTCGGTGTGGCGACGCCGCGACCTCAGATTAATAAAGGGACTAAGCCAAAAAGAAAATGAATGAACGAATGAATAATAATTCATTCATTATTTTCTTGTCAGCTTAGTCCCTTTATTAATCTGGGGTCGCCACAGCGGAATGAACCGCCAACTTATCCAGCACTTTTCTACGCAGCAGATGCCCTTCCAGCCACAACCCATCTCTGGGAAACATTCACACACACTCATACACTATGGACAATTTAGCTTACCCAATTCACTTGTACCGCATGTCTTTAGACTGTGGGGGAAACCGGAGCACAAAATAAATGTTAGCTTTATGATTTGTAAAAGTGCTTCAGAATCAAGCATTAGGGCCTCTTCTTTTATCAGTTTAAGTTGTATCACATTTATTTCATTGAAACCGAAAGGGAATTGTAAAGGGTTTACATTGTAATGAGTGGCATTTGAATAAATAATATGGGAAACACAAACAATAAAACTAGAAAAAAATTCTACTTCAATATACTGTTTGCATCTAATGATGAACCATCACCACTGCATGTACAGTTGAAACCAGAAGTTTACATATACTTTATTACATATAAATGTCTTATGTTGAATGTGGCTTCTCTTTTTCTCTTTTAGGTAAGTTAGGATTACCAACATTGTTTACATTTGCTTAAGAGCAGAATAATGAGAGATAAATAAATATGTTTTTTATAACTTTTCGTAAAAGTCAAAAGTTTAAATACACTGAGATTACCATGCATCGGAAAAAAAGCCCAGATGATGGTGTCAAGGTTTTGGAAGTTTATGATTGGCTAATTGACAATATTTGAGTAGCACAACTGTAGATTAGTATTTAAGGCAAACCTCACATGGCTTCCTTGTGTGACAACATGGGAAAATCAAAAGAATCAGCCAAAACATCAGGAAGAAAATTGTATACCTCCACAAGTCCGGTTCTTCTTTTGGTATAATTTCTAGATGACTGAAGGTAGCACGTTCATCGGTTCAAACAATTATATGCAAGTATAAACAACAGGATAATGTCCAGTTATCATATCGCTCAGGAAGAAGGATTCTGTTTCCCAGAGATGCATGTGCTATAGTGCGAACTGTGTGCTAACCACAGAACAAAAGCAAAAGACGCAGTGAAGACGATGGCTGAATCTGCTGAGAGTTTCATTATCCACAGTGAAACGACTCCTGTACCAACATCGGCTGAAAAGTTACTATTACTACCATTACTAGCCATATTACAATTTGCAAAAGCACACAGGGAAAAAGGCTTTAATTTTTGGAGGCATGTTCTGTGGTTTGATGGAATTAAAATTGAACTGTTTGGCCATAATGACCAGTGTCACGTTTGGAGGACAAGGGGGAAAGCTTACAAGCCTAGGAACACCATCCCAACTGTGAAGTATGGAGGTGGCAGCATCATATTGTGGGGCTGTTTAGCTGCAGGAGGGACGGGTCCACTTCACAGAATACATGGCATCCTGAGGAAAGAACATTATGTAAAAATATTGAATCTCGAGACATCAGCCAGTAAATTAAACTTGGCCACAAATGGGTCTTCCAAATGGACAATGACCCTAAGCATACTGCAAAATTTGTTAAAATGTGCTTTAAGGACAATAGAGTGAATGTTTTGGAGGGACCATCACGGAGCCCTGATCTTAATCCTATAGAAAATGTGTGGGCAGAGCTGAAAAAGCATGAGCAAGAAACAACAAATCTGACTCTGTTACACCAGTTCGGTCAGAAGAAATGGGCCAAAATCCAGCAAACTATTGTGAGAAGTTTGTGGAAGGATACTCAAAATGTTTGACCCAAGTTATACAGATTAAAGGAAAAGTTGAAAATACTAAGGAATTGTATGTAATCTTTTGACTGTTTAAAAATTAATATATTTTTTTTAAACAATCAAGAAAAATCTCTAAAAACGTTTAGTATGATTTAGCAGCAGACATTTAAAAAAAAAAAAAAACGTAATGTGCCTTTTTTAATTGTGTATGTAAACTAATGGTTTCAACTGTAAATATAAATGTAAAGAAATCCCATTAAAAAGCAAACGCACTGCTGTAGAAAGAATCACATACTTCTTTATTGCGTGAAGTGCAGTCAAATGATTTTTCAAATCAAAACATTACTGCAATTTCTTGATAAGCAAATAAATTGATTAGCAAAACATGTTTTAGTGACTGGAGACATAGTAACTTTGGAACGTAATGGTCCGCACATTCTGATTCTATCAGTCTCTTTAGTGTATACCTATGATTTGTATGCATGTATTAGATCTAAATTTTGGTCCCTGGTGAGGTTGTTTTATGTGATCCATTCATGCAGGTCTTTGCATAAATGAGTAGTTTTCTCATAAAAGCACTTTTTTTATTTCTTACGCAGGTTTTCCTCCTGTGGTCAATGCTAACATACATTTCAAAGTTTCTCTGCGCTTCCGGTGACCATACATTGGTCACTGCGCCTCATATTCCAAGTTCTTCTTTTAAACATGGCTTCCTCGCTCACTCATACTCTGCAATCAGCACCATCATTCCCACTCCAAACAGAAGAGCCAGGATCTCCAGGAGTGACTGCCAGAAACTAGAGTGTCCAGCCAGCAGCTCTGGGAGAACTGTGACAGTCGCAATGTAAACAAAGCCTCCGGCAGTAAAGGGGAGGATCCACGCTGTGGCCGCGTCACCCACTCCTTCAGCCAATAAGGAGCAGGCAGTTCCAGCTAATGCACCAACAGCAGTGAGAAGCTGAAGACACATAGCCTGATTAAAAGAGAAAGAAAAGAGAAATAAATGAAAAATAAAATAACGGTCATCAGGAAAGATTTTTGCAACCAATTCTACTTTAGCTTCAATCTTTGAAACATGTAGATCAGGGTTTCTGCAGTTTTCATCAAGTCAAATTTAAGACTTTTTAAGACTATTATAAATTATTTATATATTTTAGGGAAAAAATTATTAGCCCCTTTAAGCTATTTTTTCTTTCGATGTTCTACAGAACAAACCATCATTATACAATAACTTGCCTATTTACCCTAACCTGCCTAGTTAACCTAGTTAAGCCTTTAAATATTACACAAAAGATCAAGTAAAATATTATTTACTGTCATCATGGAAAAGATTAAATAAATCAGTCATTAGAAATGAAATATTAAAACTATTATGCCTAGAAATGTGTTGAAAAAAATGTTCTTCGTTAAACAGAAATTGGGGAAAAAATTAAAGGAGGGGCGAATAATAATTCTAGGGGGCTAATACTTCAGAATTATTAGTATTGATATACTTATCATTAATAAGTCAAGAGCATAAGATTGATTCCCTAAAAGACTCAAGTTTCTGCCCTGTGACCTACTCAGACTTGCACCTTCTCCATGATGGAAGATCATCTTTTTCAAACCTCCGACATGCAGACGTTTGGCCAGAAATCTGAGCCTGGTTTCGGTCAAGGTTTTGTTTTCATCACTTTCTTTTAATGGTACAGTGAAGTTCCTTGCCACAGTCATATTTGGCTTGCTAGGTTGGGATCAGTGGAGCTGCGCACCAGTGGACCGGCCTTCAGCAGTGACGTTTAAGTTCCACTGATCTAAACATTTAAACTAAACTGAACTGAAGCAGTTTCAATTTAACTACAACTACATCAGGATTCTACATTCCAGCCAGCCTAAATTGCTGAAATTTTCCACAATCTCCAAAAATATTATGGCTTTCACTATCTATGTAAAGCTGCTTTGACAATCTACAAAGTAAAAAGAGCTACAAAAATAAAGAAGAATTTAATTGAATGTGCGAGTCCTTAAATTTGCTCCGTACCTTCCTCTTGGTGCAGCCTGATTGGACAAGAATTGCAAAGTCTCCAATTTCATGTGGTACTTCATGTAAGAGGATGGTGATGGTGGTAACAGCACCAACAGCTGGACCAACCAGGAAAGATGCTCCAATTGCAAGACCATCCGTGAAATTGTGAGTGAAATCAGCAGCCAGGTTCAGATAACCAGACACTTTAATATCTGTAAATACAAACAGAAGTCACCAATGACCATTTCAACTGAGCAGTATGGTTTGGTAGAGTACGTTTCCACTGTCAAAGGTACCAAAAAAAGCATACTGTACTGTGCCATACCACCCTTTCCAAAACGTATCTAGTTTGAATAGTACCAAAGGGGTGCTTTTGGTTTACAGAAAATAGTCACCAGAGTGTGCAACAAGCCAGGAGAACAACACAGGAAGCGCCATTTTGAAAAACACAACTGAGATACATCAGTAATACATATAAGCCATGGTCGACCATATAAACCTTGTTGTCTTTATGGGACAAACTGCCAAATGTCAAAAAAGCGATAACAGAATCTGCTATATTATTGTTTACCCAAGCATCTAAAAATGTGTGGTCTAAAAGCATTGAGGGGTTCTGCGCTCTCTCTCTCTTTCCATATTTGCATCTGCTTTACATGCATCTATATATTTGAAATAATGAACTTGAACTCATGATTTTAACTTACATGTGATTAGGTTCAAGTGCTTCTCACATCTGTTTTGAAAGAAGCAAAATTGAGAGTAAAGCGCAAAAGAACTAATGAATCTATTAGCAACCTAAGCGATTTTTAATTTTTAACATCATCACCTTTAAGACTATTATGCACTCAGAATGACAGAATTTTTTTTAATTGTTTAATACTGTAAGTTTATTAAAAAATTATCTATTAATGTGAAACATTCGAAACATTAATGTGTTTTTTTATTTATTTCGATTTTTAAAAATACAATTATAAACGTTCAGTAATTTGCATTAGCGTAAAACATGAAATCCTGCTCATAGAAGGATTAATTAACATTAATACACAAGTATATATGTATATGAAGCATCTTTTTTCTTAGTGCTCATCACTACTATTCTTTAAGTGAAAATGGCATCTACTGAAACTCTGTTGTACACCACGCCTACCAAAAGGGTACCATTGGAAGTGGAAGGATAGACTTGATGAAGGTGACACATACTGTACTGCATACTGAACCATACCACTCAATGGAAACAAGACACAAAACAACAATACTGACACTCAAATACTTTGGTTTTCGTACCAGAACTTGTCTCTACTGTTTTCTTTGTAGGTTTCTGTTGAGAGACAACTTTGTCTTTCTCTCCCTTCTTTTGTCCTTTCTTGTCATCTTCTTCATCACTATCCTTTGACTTTGGAGCAGCTGAAAACATGACAAGAAAATATATTTCTGCGTTCATTTTAGAGACTTCATAACAACAAAAAAGTGTTTATTTTATCAAGGAACTTTTTTAGTCTCTGCCAGTTTAAAAACACTGAAGATGGCAAAAATTCAAAAAAAAAAAAGATTATAAAGATTATAACAATTTTAGAAAGAAGTTGCTTTAGGAACAATTTCAATTCCTAAAAGCTCCTAAAAAGTAAATACAATACAATTAATCTGAAGCACTTACAGGGAGAGTGGGAATGCGAGTGTGAATGTCCTCCCTTCAAAAGACGAACAAATTTCTCAACCACTAGAAATGCAACAATGCCACCTAGCACCCACAGACCAACTGACATCATGTGACCATGGGCAGCTCCTGTGACAGAATTTAAAAAAAAATGTACAATGAACAAAAAAGTAAAGACTATCTACCAATAAATTCTATTCCTCATCGCATTTGGCCTCATTATAACAACTGTAGAAAAAATAAGATAGACCAATGACCTACCATGAGAGTGACCATGTGACTCCTCACCATGCGACTGGCCATGGGACTCCTCGCTGTGTGGCTGACTGTGATGAGAATGAGGTTCTGTGTTGGGAAAAAGAAAATAAAATATGGCTGGTTAGCATGGACCAATTATATGGGTTGTTTATTTTATGACTCCGCCATCTGGCTTCAAAAACACTCATTCAAAAGCATCTGTCTAACTATTTGGGATCAAACCTACACAGGAATAAGAGAATAATTTAACATCTCACAAATCAATTATTTTTCCAGTATGATAATATATCTATGTAGTCCAGTACAGATGGCTAGGAAAAAACAAAAACAAAAAAAACGCTCAAGTCAAAGGGTACTGTCATAATAAAATAAAGCAAATTCTCTGCAATATGAAATACATTTAAATGGGAAAGTAAAAATTCAGTCTTTATTTCCCTGCTGTTCACAAACCTGTTTGAGTTTCTTTCTCTCTTTCTTTCTTTTGGACACAAAAAAAAAAACATTCTTGGAAACTGTTACTATTGACCTACATAGCATTTGTTTTTCCTACTATGGACATCAATGATTACCAGATCCACCCTTTTTCAACAACATATTTCTTGTGTTCAACAAAAAAAGAAACTCGTAATAGTGTGTTAACATTTGATTTTTTTTAATAAACTATCCCTTTATGTTTTCTGCCTCAGATTGGCCCAATCCCAATTTTATCCCTACCCCTTGGCTCTTGAAATAGAGTGTGAAGAAATGGGACAGCACTACAACACCTGCACATGTCATTGCGAGCTCGTACTTCTCATGAGATTGACGATGGCGACTACGGTAGTTATTCAAGTTGCAATCATTTTTTGTATTTATCTTCAGGAAAACACTGAAGGCAACAATATCATGTTATCACAAAGATAAATGTGGCAATAAGCTGGTAACTGCACTGTGCATTTACACAGTGGACATATTCATCTAAACACACAAAAACAACATTAACATTCTACCAAGCACTGTAAAAAAAGCTCATTACCAGTCACTAGACTTTTCTGACATGGTATTCAAGTATCATTAGATGTGAAAGTATGTTGTAGGACTATACAGGAATTATTATTATAGATAACGAATAACAAAATTTTGCCGTTTTTTTTTTCAAAGCAGATTGTAAAACACGAACACCTTTATGAATGTATTAAAACATATGCTTGCTTGCTTGTAAGAATTCATAATAAGGACAAAAAAAAAAAACAATTTGTGCATCTTTTTACTTCTGTGTGCAACCATGCTGCCGTTGTAGCTGGTGTATTCGGGGTAATTTTCATACCCCTTTGGTTTCAAGTAGGGTTGTGACGATGAGGAAATTTCTCCAGCGGTTAATCGACATGTGACAACACCGGTAATACCATTATCACCGCAGGGGTGGGGGTTTCCTCTTTTTTTTTTTTTTTTGCCTTAAATACCTTATAAATGCGTGTGTATAATACTTTCAGTTTTGCGAGAATTGACAATACACGATGCATAAGGGCGATAAACACACTACACAGCATACACTGCCAAGATAACAAATGCTGCAGGATCAGTTTTATTTGTTTTGTCATTTGCATGTTGTTCCTTTTTAAAATCCCTTTTATTAGTAAATCTCTCAAGTTAATATTGGCTATCTGGTAACCTATTCTCCCTCAGAGATATTGGAGGTCAATAATGGTGCGCAGTATGACTATTGACCAACACCTCCCTGTAAGTTTACACACTGCATAGACTACAGCTCTGGTGTGTTATGAATTGCATGTTTTAAAAGACAGCGAGACATTCTACACTTTTACTGTAAAATATTCATTATAACCCAGTAAACAGTAAAATAATATTTTTTGAATGGCTTGCCTATTGGCAGCATATATAGCCGTTAAGCATCAATAGGCTAAGCATACTTTTATTAATATAAAAACTTGGGATGCCCAAAATAATTGATTAACCATTAATCCAAAGGGTGCGTTTGTAACAGATTAATGGTATCAGTTAAACGTTTAAAATATTATTTTATATATTTTTTGTTTGATGCATAAGGGGCCGATCGAAAGCGCATTTTGTGTTAAAAGGGGCATCTTTTTAATGGTTTACTCAAAGCCGCATATGTTTTACATGTGGCTCATCCCAGAGCTGCAGTGTGTGTGTTGTCAAGACAACTATAGAGAACTTTTAAAGAGCATGGTTTTCGCTACATTTATTTTTCCATGGCCAGGCGCCACACCAAAATGCATCCCTCCACGGCTACATTACAACTTTTCATTTAAAACATTGTCATTGTTGTTGTTGTTTTAATTGCGGGTTATAATTGCACCAAAACGTATTAAAAGGTAAGTGAATTATAACAGCGCTGACTTTTCTGTAACTGTAGCAGTGATTCGTAGTGAACCGTTTTTAGGTTATGTGCTGACAGACTGACAGGTGCGTGATGCGTGAAGCCAGCAAACACGACGTAGCTTTCAGTTAGGATGAACACAGTTTCCATAATTTGAACTTATTTATAGATAAAAGGTCTGTGGCTCTGTATATAATGACTTTATCTTGCTGGAGTTTATAGCCGTTTCACTTTACTTCAGGACGCATTGATGCCGCTCTAAGTCTATTGGAGACATCCAAAAATATTCCTAGAAAATCTAATAAATGTTGGAGACATACTCACTACATAAACGCAATAAATCGCAGCGTTTATTTGAGAGCACAAGAAGATCTGCGCTTGACCTGCATAACCTATATTTGAGGGGTGTGCAAGAGGTTTTGAAATCGGCGGTCTTCTTTTTTCCTTGTCAACATAAAAGGTGTTTTTGGAATGGAAAAGCATGTTTGCTGTGATCGGCCCTTTGTTCAACTGCAACACATATTTGTGAACTCGCGAGACGGTAACGTGTAACCACATGTGCCTACAGACATATTTGGAAAAAAACATTTGATTAAAAAAAAAAAAAACAGCAGGCCTATTTATTTTATTAATTTTCTTCAGTTTATTCTGGTTTTCTATGCTGTTGGAAACTGCAGGTGCGTGCAGATGCTGTTATGTTCTGTTATTAATATGCTAGCATGTTAAAATAAATCAGTATTTTAAAATGCATTTTTTAAATAATGGCTCATCTAAATTAACTTTACATTTGATTATAAGCAAAAACACACAGAATACACTCTTGTCAGCCTATTCATAATAGATTTTTTTTTTTAACATTAAATGCATAATAATCAAGTGTAAAAAAGAACAGCTGAACTTAGAAAAAAAAGTCATAACTGCGGTTGCCGTGAGGGTTGCTTTGTTTCTCTGCAGTTGGCTTATTAATGACACGGCATTGTTAAATCACTCATTTTAATAAAAAAAAAACAGTATTATTTATCATTAAACATTGTGAGATAATGGTCGCATGATTTTTAAAATGAGTATGCGTTGCCTATTTATGGCTATTGATCTTATCTACCCGCGACCCTCCCATAGTTAAACATCAAGTCGGTGTGTTGAAGGTGCCTGTATAAATTAAGTTAGTTGTATTTCCTCCAGATGATGCCGCCTTTGTCAGGCAAAGTTTGCGGACTGCCTCATTAATGTTTTCAGGTTCTCTTTTTGCATTAGGGTTGAACCCAAAATATTGCCAAACAGGCGCTTTTGCATTGCGATTTGACACTAAATCATCTGCCATTCTCTTTCTGTAAATTCGACTCCGCCCGTTCTCCTCATGTGATAAATGAAATATGACGCATTGTAGCTATGTTCAGATTATAATTATAGTGCATGCTCTCGTCTTATGTAAATTATTTAGAATAATATTTTCCATCTGATTCAAATAAATATTTAATAAAAAAATAAATGTGGGGACTGTGTCACAGAGGAAAAGTGATGTCACTGGTGTTGTGTATAAAAACCGGTAACACCGTCAACACCATCTATCATGGCAAGCCTAGTTTCAAGTGTGGTCCTGAAAAAAAATCTCAAGTTTCATCAGCACTCTAGCCCTTCCCCTTAGCCCTACACCGTCACGCTAAATCCTGGTTTATAATCGACACGTCGGCTAGTTGACATGGTGAATGTGATGTCATCGCTGTATTTGCAGAGGTTAACTTTAGGTGCGTGCAACATGATTTCAGCTGGCGGAGCACACAAAATGTTTTAAGACTCAAGCGAACAGTTTGCGTAGCATCATATTTTATTTTATTTTATTGGAGTTGAATATGAATCACTTTAAAGAGATTATGTCTGAAACAGGTACGCCTGTACACACATCTTTATGATCCAACAATGGGTGATCATAGGGATAACCAGATGGCCAATAACTCTTGGCTATAAATTGCAACAGCCGTGGAAAAGAAGAAGTTTTTGTAAAAGTTTGGAAAAATCTGAGGGATAAGTTTGTTAAAACCAAAAAAAAGAGGCCATGGCAAAATTTAAGACCCATGTGGTTTTAATATTACAGAATGTTTTTCCACCATTCATGGGTTTAACTCTGATGTATATATTATAATTTTGAATTTAACACTATTTAATAGTTACAAACTAAAATGAAGGAGTTTTTTGATAACTGAAAATAAATATTTGATTTACAATATACCTTTATTGATGCCCTGTTTTTAGGCTTTATTGGTGATAATGGTCAGGAATGTTGGACCATTATTTCCTTTTTAACTTATAAGTAGAGGACAAACTAGCCAGACAGTAATGTGTGAATTGTTGAGTGGGCTAAATAAAAACATCAGTATTTTTTAGTAAGTGTACTTATTATTGCTTTTATTCTTACCACAATAAAAAATATAACTGTACCCATGTTCTGTTGTCATTAATATTCACTTTAATAGGTAGAACTCTGAGATATATTAACTAAAGCAAGTGATGCATCAAAGTTTGACTTAACAAATCGTTAAATTGTTAAAAAAAATCTTTATAATCATTCAAATAAATTAGTAAATGAATAAAAAAATAATTATAACTGAACGATATTGATGATATGAAGCAGTTTCGGAAACTTCCTACTCTGTTTATGCGGCTGACCTTACAGAACATCACAAGAGCGATTGCTTAATAAAAAGAATAAAAGTCTCGTCCATTTCGTGAGGTGACCGCGCAGTCAGCGGAGGTCTGCAACACGGCACCAGGTGAAAGTATAAATGAGCCTTAAAGAGAATTGAGACACCCTTACCCTTTCACATGAACACACAAAACGAGGGGTACGGGTAAGGAAAAGGGCTAAGGGGTAGAATTGGGATTGGGCCAGGTTATGTGAGACAATATGTTACTATGGATTGACCTCTGTCCAGTCACTTACCCAGTGCATGAGGAATGAGATGAAGGAATGCATCTCCAAGCAAACCACCAGATGCAAAACTCAAGAGCACTTTAAGCAGGTTCTGGTGCTGGTCAGTGTTTGACTGTACTGGAATGAGGAAGAGTATCAGAAATGGTGCAGCACTAATGAGCAGGGTGGCTCCAATGGCCTATAAAAACAAAGAAAGAAAGAAAAAAAAAAGCTTAGTTTCTTAAAGCCATGGTTGAGATCTAGTCATCCACAGTGTTTCTTTAGACCAATTAAACATGGCACTCATAATTTTCAACAGCATCTTATTTCAATAAAATGACTTTTGGAACATGTTTTGGTCAATGTTATAGCAATCTAAACTTTGACTGACATTTTAATCAGCAGATTATTTTCTTCAATTTTAAATCATCCAACACTTTATAATATGGATGGGAAATTTGGCCTAAAATCTAAATTTTTATTCGAATAATGAATAATTATTTTATTTTTTATTTTATGTTTTTGCCCTCATAGTTCACTGACAAGTTTTATTTTATTTGTATTATTTATAGCACTTCAATGCTAAACAACTAAAATTAAAATGCACATACCCTAAAATGCGGTTCTCTGTGCCACCCACCTTCATTACCGCTACCAAACCAACCAACCACAAAGCTTGCGTTAAACGTCGTTATGACATGCAAGTACTTTTTTTTTTGAGAGGTGAACGGGTATGTGAAGGCTGCTCTGGACTGTACACGTGCCCTTGACAGAAAAATAATAATTATAACATAAAAAATTATAAATCATGATATAAAAAGTAGAATTAAGCCTTAACAGCGTGACTCCACACAGGGTAGGAAAAGAAAATGAAAAAAAATTGACCTAGAAAAATGTGATCAATTATAGGTTCTGAATGACTATTTCGATTAATCACCCAGCCCTAGTTTATAATCTTGCATGAGCCATATAAAATACCATCCAAAAGATCACACAATTAAATTTAAAATTACCCAGGCATATAAGAATTTGTTAAGAAAAAAAAAAAAAAACATTAAAATGTAAATAATTTGTAAACCTGTTTTTTTCTTTGCTCCAAGTATCTGCCCTGGACTATTCTGTTGTGGTTAATCAGTTTATACCACTATACCATGTTGTATGATTATTGAGTTATTAATAAAAGATAACACATTGTTTAACTGTTTAATTATGAACCAATTAAAGAATAATTTGTTAACTTACAATACTAGCAAACACATTGTTTTTAAGTAAACAAGTCACCGGTTTTAAATAAAAATAAATAAAATCATCTTGCTAATAATTAAAAAAAATAAATAAATCGACTAATACTATGAATTGAGTATTTGTATTGTTTCCATGTTTATGTGGAACTATATGTGTATTAAAAATGTGTTAAGATTGATTAGACTTATAATTATAATACACAAACAAAATAAAAAGATATTTCATAAAAGAAGAGTCTTTGCATATGAGCTAATAAAAAGTACTTTTAACAGTATACATTAATGTAAAACACAATTAATAAACTATGAATTATTTATAAAATGATGGTAGGTCAGAAGTACCTTATTACTCTACAATTAATATAAATTGTTATTATAATGTTTTGGCCGGAATAAGATATATTTTTTGCAATATGTGCGTATACAAATACAACCTGTCCATATACCCTATTAAAAGTAATATTGGTGTAAAGAAAATGATTCATAAACTTTGAATTAATTTTGAATAGGTACTAAATATAAAAAAACACTTCACTATTGACATACAGTATCAAATGTTTCACAATAACCCAAGTGGGAATCTATTAATCTGCACTTATTCATCAGCATGTTTCACCTGCATCCAGAGCTCCACCATGTTCCGTTTGCCTGCTTCCACAACTTTCTTCGATTTCTCAGCTCCATGATCGTGTGCGTGTCCATGCTTGTGTGCATGTCCATGATCATGAATGTCTCCATGACTGTGTGCATGCCCGTGATCGTGTGCATGATTATGTGTGTGCCCGTGATCGTGTACGTGATGCTCCTCTTCAGCATGAGGCAGATTAGCTTCAGCACTCCATTTGCTTGCCCCGTGATGCATCTTCGCTCCACCATGTGAGTGACCATGGCATCCACCATCACCATGTCCATGATGATGGTGGGAGTGAGCCAGTGTCTGCTGGGACATTAAAATGCCAACAGCAATCAGCAATAGCGATTTGCTAAAGACCCTCATTGTTCCTAAACAGAAAAAAACAATGTTTTTGAACTCACACAAGCCACACCGAATATTCAGTTGCATTACAATTAATTCACTTTTTATTGCAAGTAGTTATTTGTTCTGGGTAGTTACTTGACAGTCTTTAGGTTACAACTGACAGGTATGAAAGAATGCAAGTAAACTATTTTAACGAGCCAGAACTGGAAATCATTGCTTTTAATGTTGAAGTATGATTAAGCATTTCTTAGCCTTGACTAGTTCTACATGTCTCCATGTTAGAGCAGTTTTGGATAATTTTTGAAACGATCTAGAGGTAAATGTGATGTATATGGTCAAAAGCATCATACACACAAAACTAACTTCAATTGAATAACTATGATAAAAAATACAAGTTAAATGTAAACTGCATGAACGCTAGTGTAAGATAAAAATACCGCAGCTGACATACTGCAGAAAACTCTACACCACAACTCGTACATTGAGCTAGTAAAATTGCAGACAGTATCCTGAAATCACACGAGTCACTTCCTACAGTTAGCTCCGCTTTGTAACAGAATGCTAACAGTAGGAAGGGATCCCACAAGGGAAGGGATTTTAATTAATGCAAGAAGCCTATACTTTCGGTTAAGCGTTTAAAAGCGGTTCCCATTTAGATAAATGTTTTAAAATAGCAGATCACAACGAAGATAGTCATGACGTATTAAGGATGTCAAATTGATTTAACTTATATTCTGATATTCTCAGCTTTTCCAAAACAACGTATATTTGGAGTATCGACGAATTTTATTAAATTTGCAGAGCCTATCTTAAACCACTAGATATACAGTAATCAAGTCAAAGATAATGTTAAAGATAACAAAAGCATCTGTTGATGATGCATCGACTTCATTCAAACGTTAAAGATGAACTGTGATCCAGACCTCATCACGGTGAATCTGTGCTCTCGCAAAGAATTAACAGTAATCTGCAGCCTTAACAAATAACTGTTAGAACTACCTGAAGTGAACAGACCAGCGACAGTAAGGTTACAGTAAACAAACGATCAGTCTCACAAAGCTCAATGCTCATCGTGCAAATACCTGCTAGTGATGCCGAAAAAACCAAAGCACGCGCCAGTACCGTGCACTGAATAAGTTAGCAATCTGCTAACCGCATCCACGTCTAGCAACGGTATAAGCTGCGAAAACTAATATAAATTAGCTTATTCTGGTAAAGAGTGAAAGCAGTTAAGATGCTGCTCACACTCAAACCGACGTGGCATTCAGTCAACACATTTGATTCCCGCGATACTTTGGAGGTGTGTTCGAAAAGATACAAAACAACGAAATAACGCGAGATTCCAGTCACGTCAAGCCGGATGCGAAAAGTGTACCTCACACATAATCTGAACCATTTAAAAAAAAACTATTTATTATCCGTATTGTTTTACACGTATCACTCATTGTTGTAGGCTGCATGAGTAGACGGGTAAGTCTAATGTAATAATCTGAATATGCTGATACTAACAGCAATTCATCCACCAGAGACAAATGTTTGCATGCACTTTTCCTCTTTAATCATAGTATTCCTGCAGAGGGCGCAAGGGGACTTGCACGACACTAGCTTAACATTTAGAGAAATTTTCAATGAAAAATTTTTCACAATTACTTATTCATTACTTACTGTCATGTAATTACTGTCTTGATTGTACTTGCTTTCGTTCTGTATTTTATCTGAGAGTTATTAAAACATGAGTTGTAATTAAAAAAAGTCATGAAACAATGACCTTAAATCTTGTCATTATGACTCTATACCCCACAACTGGAACTTTTTTGTAATTGCCTTTTTGTTTAGTTTAATTTAAATGGTCTCTTAGCTTTCTCATAATTGTGCCACTTTATGTCACATTGGCCTCAATTGTGTGAAGTCACATTCAGCACAAGACATTGCATTTGACATAAGATGTATAACCGTTCATTCATTTATTTTCCTTTAACTAAGTCCCTTATTTATCAGGGGTTGCCACAGCGGAATGAACCACCAACTATTCTAGCTAATGTTTAACGCAGCGGATGCCCTTTAAGCCGCAACCCAGTACTGGGAAACTGAAGGACCCCTTTTAGTCCTGTTCTATTCCCTTCTCTGCTCTCTATGTTTTTATGTCTTCTACTATCATATCTTTTAAAAATATTAAATTATGTGATAAACATTTAAACAAAGAAAGAATTTATAATAATAGTGGTTTTTGAAATACATTTTTATAATTCGCAATAAGAGATAACTGCATGACAGTAAACAGAAGTCCACATATTCTGACTACTCTTTTCTGAAAACCTAGTCTCATTTGTGTCTATATTTATTAATGCAAAAATGTAGGATCTGGGAAGCAAGTAAGAAAGAGCAGAACAAAGCTGAAAACCTTTTGACTTGCTCAGTTTATATACATATGGGATCAGAATTAAATCTTTCTCGTCCTAATTCATTTTACTCTTGTCTAGTTTTGTTTCATATTTACAGAATACCTTTTACCCTAATTATTTCCTTATTTACGCTAAAAGAATGGAAGTGAAATGTGACAACATGCCCCACTGGTAGAGGCATGCTGTAGCATGTCATTTGACAGATTAAAATGTTAACTGATTAAAAAAATAATAATTAAAACGCCCCAAAGTGGCTCAATGATATTTAAAGCCGGTGACTGGGAGGGACATGGAAGCTCTTAAACTTCACTTTCATGTTCATCAAACCACTCTGTCACCAGTCTGAGAGGGGTCTGGATGCAGACTTGGTGCACTTACAAGGTGAGCTGCATACAGTGTTATTAATGCTCATACTTAACCCCACCCCTCACAGTGACTCCACTAGCTCCATTAAGTGCATTGTGTTTAATATTGCATTTCTGAAATATGTAGTCTCAGTATGCAAATCCAAGTCTGCATCCTGATAGGTATTAACCAGTCTTGCTGTGTGTATTGGTGCATTACCATCCTGATACATTGCGCTGCCTTTAGCATACCATGCTTAATCATTGAGTGCACATGGTCCTCCAGAATGGTTCAGTTGTCCTTGGTAGTGATGTGCCCATCTAGCATTGTAGTATTGGGCCCAGGGCAATGCCATGATATTGCAGCCCAAATCATCACTGATCCATCCCGTTAGGGGACTCTGTCACTTCGATCTTGTTTATTTTTGTTTTAGTGGCAGATTCCAGACACTAGTCGTGTCTTGTCATAAATGACGTGCTCTGTTTAAGTTTATATTTCCTGTCTTTTTCCATGTCTTTGTTTTTGTAATGAGCGTGGTCTCGGTTGTGCTCTGGCCATGCACGCTCTTGTGTCTCATCAGAGAACAATGTATGTTTCACATTGTCCACAGCCCAAGATTTCTGCTGCTGGCATCTTTGGCATGAGAAACCAAAGGTTTAGCTAAAGCAGCCCACCCATTAATATTTACCCTGTTAAGCTCCCAATTAACAGTTTTGGTGAAAACAGGACAGTTAAGGTGCAGATTAAATTCTGAAGTGAGTTGGGCAGCTATGGTTTTATGTATTTTGCATACAATTTGGGTCCCATGCGGACATCTTTTTAACACAGCTTCCTTTTGTGTCCACCTGCTGGATGCGGTTCATCCTTCTTGGTGGTTTGCTGACAATACCCTGGATGTCATGGCTCTTGATGCGCCAGGCGTACATCAACAATTGGTTCTCTTTTGATCTCTGATATGTCACCCATAATGTTGTGTGCATTCCAAAAATTTTAAACAAAATAGTGCTATTACTTCGCTTAAACCTTTGCACTCTGCTCTTACTGGTGAAATTTGCATTCAATGAAGATTGGCCTCCAGGCGGGTCAAATTTAGCCATGAAACCTCCAACATTGCATTGGCCAGTGTTTTAGTTTCATTGTCCAATCACTGTACACACACACACACACACACACACACATATATATATATATATATTTATTTATATATATTAAATAATATATTATATATATTAATTATAAGGTTCTATCTGAATGATTTTGAGATATTGAGCTTCAAAGTTTTTGCAGTCCATTTAGCAAACAGTGTGTGTGTAACAGTTCTCTTTCATACATTAACATGACAGAAACCCTAAGGGCTCTCTAAATGTAAATTATCAAAGTTTTCTTACATTTGCAATTTGGAGTAAAAAACCATGGTAAATGCAGATAGAAGCTTCTTATTCTGAAAAGTCATTTTCCGATTGGAATTATAAGGTTCTATCTGCCAGAAATTTATCAAAGCATTGCTTTTCAAAAAAATACAATACAAAAATAAGTCCAAATACATGCGGTACAGGTGAATTTGGTATGCTAAAATTGGCCATAGTGTATGTGTGTAATTGAGTGTGTATGGGTGTTTCCCAGAGATGGGTTGCAGCTGGAAGGTCATCCGCTGCGTGAAACATACCTGTATGCTGGATAAGTTGGTGGTTCATTCTGCTGTGGTGACCCCAGATTAATAAAGGGACTAAGCCGAAAAGAACATGAATAAATGAATGAAACGGCAAGAAACGGCAAGAAATACTTCTAAATCATCACATTGACACACATCTCAATTCTGTGTGGTGCGGTATTATTTAGCTGACTCTGATTTTGTGTGAATTTGTCTTTCTGGTGTTTCCCGCTGACAATGGAGCAGTCCGGCGAAAATGACAAAGAAAGCTGATCCTGATTGGTCCTCGTGTGTGCATTAAAAATGCTGATTGGCTCACAGAAAGAACCTTATAGAGCCAAACTAGAGTTTGACTTTGTAGATAAAACCTTTTTTGTTTTTTAAATAAAAAAATCTTAAAATGTAAACAACTTATAAACAAACATCACATGATGTAAATAAGTTGTCATTTAATAGGAATATGCAAATAACTAAATTTTTATAAAAATGTCAGATAGAACCTTGTAATTCTCAAGTGACGATAGATATATATATATATATATATATATATATATATATATATATATATAACCACAGTGCCTGTGAAATGTAGTAGTCAGTCAATCCTTTTAAATATCTTTATATCTAAATCTAAAAAAGGGGGGAATTACATTATTTCAAATAAACCCAAATACTGAGATTTGAATACTGAACTTTACTTCAGGAAGAAATGTACTTTTTAAATAATTAAATTCACTGAAAACTTCAAAAGGTTTTGTCTTGGTAGCATGTATGAAATATTTAAATGGGTGTGTTACAACTAAGCCTGCATTAGTCATTAGGATGCTACCGTTTCAGTAAGGTCCATATAAAAGCCATAATAATAAATGTTATTCCTATAAAAGAGTGACTTCTAACATCAAGAGTTTGATCAGAATGCTGCAAACTCATTTTAGATATATGAGGGTGATCTCAGCAGAATTGTGAACAGAGGCAGTGAGTTAGAGCATGTATTCCTCCCATAGTCAACTGCTACTCTACGCTTTAGCAATACGCAATAGAAATGTCAGTAAACCTAATGTCCAATCAATCATCATGGTGTCCTGTCTGGCTGTCTTTTTTTTTAAAGTTTTTTTTTTTTTTCAAGTTCAGACCTCCACATTGGCCTTCTCTCCTTTGACCCTAGAACCATAGACAGCAGACACTATTGTTTTCATGATAATCAGAACATCAACTGAAAATCACTCGATTCGATTACGGCCATCTGCATATTGAACATCTGCCCCTTAAATGTGGCCAGCCGTCCTCTTCTCCCCCAGACCTTGTGCACAGCCCCCAATGACCCTACAGCTGCCCTCGACCTGTTCACCCATTCCCCCCTTCAAACTACCATCGAGATATAGTACCAAAGTTCAAGGTAATTTTCCCGGTCTGTGTGTGCTTATAATCACATGCATCTCTCTATTTCAGTTCTCACAGATTATCTTTCCAGCCTGGCCACCTATGTTAAACCTGCAAACCAATCCAGTTAATGGTTTGAGCCTCGGCTGGGTCATACTGTGTAACATACAAGTTATCGTTTTCATGCATGGTCAAGGGTAAAGCAAATGATTTACAGTTGCTACTGAAATTAAACTATGTTCATTATACGAAACAACATTGGTCTTCTTAAAATATTATAAATAAACACAATTGACTAAAGTGATGATCTTATGCTGTTAAGTTGTTTACATTGTAAAATGTATTTTCGTTACATAATTATTGTGGCATCCACAGCTGCCAGATTTTTTTTAGATATTAATGTAATTATTAATTTTAATAAATAGTATTAATTAGTAAATATATTGTTTTGTTTTTTCACGTAATTGTTCTTTATGTTCAACAGTTTTAAATTGTAAACAGGTTT